CTGATAACCAGAATACACAGGGAACTCAAGTGGCTTACTCGAAAAAGTAAATGATTAAACCAATTAAAAGATGGGAAAATGAGCTGAACCAAAATCTCTCTGAGGAAAACATACGAACAGTCAAAAAACATATGAGGAAATTCTCAACATCTCTCATCATAAAGGAGATGCAGATTAAAAACCACAGTGAGATACCACCTAACCCCTGTCAGAATGATGAAGGTCAAAAATATAAAAAGTGGTAAGTGTTGGCGGGGATATGGTGAAAGGGGAGCTCTCCTACACTGTTGGTGGGAATGTAAACTGGTTCAGCCACTGTGGAAAACAATACGGAGGTTCCTCAAAGATCTACAAATAGAACTACCATTTGATCCAGCAATTCCACCTTTGTGTATCTATGCAAAGGACAGGAGAGTGCTCAGTCAGAAAAGCGCTTGCACATCAATGTTTATTGCAGCATTATTCACGATCACTAAGACATGGAACCAACCTAAATATCCACAAACAGATGAACAAACTGAAAAATTGCGGCACATATACTCTATGGAATACTACTCAGCCATAAAAAACAAGACCCTGGCATTTGATAGAAAGTGACCGGATATGGAGGATCTATTGCTGAATGATGCAAGCCAGGATATGAAAGATATTGCATGTAGCCACTTAATCTACACCAACTATCTGCACTGTGTGTTAGAGATCGAAATATTGGAGGGCATAAAAGCAGTGAAAACAGGGATGCTGAAGACAGTGTGGAATGGAGGGGGGGAGAAGGGAAGAGTATAGAGAAGGATAGCAAGAGAACAAATAGAGAGGCATGACATTAAGGGGATACAGAAACGGTTTATTACCTGTTGGTGATAACATGTATAGTATTCTCAACTGGACTGGTCTGAGAAATATTTCATGTTGGGTAAATTCTTTTTACAAGCAAAATGATATATAGTGATTGAATGTTTTAAAACATGAGAATAATAATAATAATAATCTGGAAAAAATGATAAAAAGCTATTTGATGATGATGATGTGGATAGTAATGTCTTTGGCTTGACTGGCATGCAAAGTATTCCTTCTGGAAAAAGAAATGTAATATACTGTAAAGATATACGTGATTCAATGTAATAGAAACAAGATTATGATAATAATAAAGATAAAAAATCCCATGAGGGGGATGGGAAGAAGGGATTGCAGTGTGGCTATTTCCCCTGAGGGGTGTTTCTTTCCCTCTCACTGATCTTTCTCTGTCTCTCTCTGGCGAGTGCCCGTGACTTATGGAAAAAAAGTAAAAAACAAGAGAGAGGGAGAGAGATTGTCATCCTTGGGTTCCAGATGTCACACACATGGTGCCAGGAGGACAGGTCTCCCTGCATGTTTATATGACATCGTGACATAACCCTCCTTATTAAAGGCCAGAGAAAAAAGGGAGCAGAAAAAGTTACCAAGGGATCCATTTCTTTGACTTGAGTAGTTTGCCAGCTTTTGGCTTCTGGAATCACAGCTTCAGAGAAACAAGGGGACCCCTCTGCTGGGCCTGAGGTCACATCCAGACCTTCCCCCGGGAGTCGTGTTCGATGGTGAGGAAGGTCAGTTACCTGAATTATTGAGTGTTTGCTCCTCCTGAGCACAGAGCTCAGCACTCTGCATCGTTTGTCCCAAATACAACTCACAGTGACCCCCCCAAAATGAACATGTGTTTATAAACAGCCCCCCCATTACAGATGAGGACACTGAGGCCCAGAAACACGAACTTGGCACACCTAGGTCCATCTGAATGGGAAAGCTGCAGTGGTAACCGCTGTGAGGCCCCACACCCGCAGCGAGGCGCTGGATTCCATCATGAGACAGACAAGAGGAGAGCTCTCTCCAGGACAGTCATGACTTGTCAGTGGACCCTGGCTATTCGATCGCATTAAGACCTGAAGGGTCCTAGGGTAGCTAGTGGAGGTGACTTTGGAATGATGAGGCTCACTGACTTGTACACAGGGAGGTGCAATGCAAACACATGGAAATCTCCCCAGTTGCTTAACACTCTGAGCTAGCCAGAGGGTAGCCAGGAGACAGGCATCCATCTTTACGGAGGCAGCCAGGGGGACTGGCACTGAGTTCCAGAGGCAGGGGAGAGGGGGAGGTTCAGGAAGAGCAACGGATGGTTAAGAAGGGGACATTTTAGGGTACTTGTATGAAGAAAGAAATGATAAAATCCATTTATAAAATTGACTAGGGACCTACAGATGGATTGGTTATTAAGGCACTGTATTATCACCTGTTCAACCACGGTTCAAACCCTGGACCCAGCAGCTTGAAAATCACGCTGAACATGTATGCGTGGGCGACCACATCCTGAGATGAGAATGGGGAGAAGGGATTGCAGTGCAGCCATCCTTCCTGGGTGTGATTTCTAACTTTCCCTCTCTTTGTCTCTCTCTGGCACGTGCATGCACTCTATGGCAAAGACCTGAAATTAAAAAAAAAAAAAATTGAGTCAGGAGTTAATATAGAAATAAATGTTACATCTTGTGAGGTTCTTAAGAATGTAAGATATCGGTCAACCTCACCTCACAAGGTTCCTGGGCTTGTTCAATACATATAGCCAAGATGGTATCAGATTTCTACTTTTAGAACATCATTATTGCTCAGACCTTCCTCCTTTGGTCACGCAGCCCTGTATTCCTTTTGAACTTTATCAGAAGCCCCTCTTGAAAGAATGTTAGTTGCCTTAAACAATTTAGAAACTTAGTCCTGATAAACTCCCGCACTTGCCCTTCCTC